ATTAATCCTAATCAACCACCAATTATGAGTGGTGGGGCCCATTGGATTAAATTAATCCTAATCAGTCACTAATTAATCCCTCACTTAAAGTTAATGACACTTACATTAGCCAACTCATACTTAATATCACATTTGAAATTAACATCCTTGCCTAATATTTCTTTAATCACTTGGAACTTAAAATAAAATCTCATTCCCCGGACTTACGTCTACTAGATCATGATGCGCATTACGTATAAAAAAATACGAGGCATAACAATACAAAAGCTTAAAACTGAACTAATTTCAATAAACTCAAATGCTCAACCTTTTGAAGAGTTAGCGCAATACTCAAAATAAAAGAAAATAGAGGAACTTCTCAATTTGTCCATCTATGAAACATGTACTATTACAGAAAAATATCAGGACAAGATCCACAACATCTCAAAACCACTAACTGCAAGATGAATGTGAAGTCCTTCGAAATATAAAATGGCTCACCAAAGCTAACTAGAATATCACATGACCTCAAAGAAACGCCTGTTGATGATCATGAATACATGTATCTGCATCATGAATCGATGCAGGACAAATGACTCGATACATGGAATGTACGAGCATGTAAGGATAATTCTAAAGCATAAACATAAGCTTGAACTAATGAAAAAGAAACAAACTTACCTCATCTCAACTTAATAAAACATAGTTCAACTCGGAGAAAATAGGGCTCAACACAATAGTAAGATACTCAACTCAGTGAAACATAGTTCAACTCAAACTTAGAGAAATAGGGCTCAACTCAACAATAAGGTACTCAATTTTGACTCAAGATACTCAACTCAAACTTAAAATACTCATCAACAGTAAAAGATGCAATATCTGGAAAGCTTTAAAACAATAGACAATAACTCAGTTCTATGCGAAAACACAATTACTCAATTGTATGAAAATACAAATAATAACTCTGTTTGTGTATAAAAATACAAAGTAACTCTATGGGAAATTCTCTAACCGTTTCTAGGGTATAGAACCTACTAGTAAGTGGATCCACTAGTTTATACTAAAAAGCGATAAGAAATGATCTAAAAAGTATGACCATTTCTACCTACGTTGGCTAGAAAGTTGGTATTTATGTAATGCTTGTATAATTATATTTCATTAATGATTTCACTTTTATCTGAACGGTCCATTAATTTGTATATTATATAATATTTATTTTTAATTTATGTTATTTAGAAATTTAGAATAAAATATAATTTTATATTAAAAAAGAATTTGAAAAAATTTATATTACATGAGTATTTTATAAAAGTAATTATTTTGGAAGAAAAGAATGAAGGGTTTTATATTATGAAATAAGAAAATAAGAATGAAATAGAAATAATAATATAATATTGAGGAGAAAGAAAAAGATTTATTTTTAGAGAGTAAAATAGAATATTGGATTGAAGTTGGTTGTCTGAAAAAATAGAACTATAAATTTGGAAAGTGAAATAGAGGACAAGGTTGGAGATGCCCTTAAAACCTATTGATTTCTCTGTGTATACTACTTTCACTTGCAGATTTATCATATATTCACAAATGTATTCATATAAAATGGTTTTACCACTACTTGCTTTTTTACTAACACATCATTTTTGAACATGAAATCTACATAAAAAATTGCTTATGTATTTAGATGCTATTCAAAATGTTTTAGAAAGAATAATAATGGAAAGTACCTTCTGGAAATAAGATTCTACTTAATTTATTTGGATGAAAACAATCATGTTATGTCTTTTGTTATAAGGCGAAGAAAGTAGAATGCCTTTTGTTACAAGGCGAAGAATCTAGAATATATGCTTACTTGCTTACATTCACAGGCAGAAAAACTTGAGTGTTAGAAAATCCTACAACATCATGATGTAATATCATGTTCTTGGAGATAACACTAATGTTACTAACGAAAATCTTTTGAAAGATTCTTTGGTTAAGACACAAAGGGATAGAGAAGTCAAATATATGGACAAGTTAGTTGTTTCATTAGTAGATATTATGAATTGTTAGAATACAATAAATTTACGATTAATCAATTATAATATACTTTTATCTATTATAAGTTTTGTATTATGTTTATAATAACTAGTAAATGGGTCTGCGCTTTGCGTGGTTATAACTTTCTTCTTAAAATTTATTAGAATAGAACTTTTCTTGTATTTTGATGTAATAATATTTTTGTATAATTTTTTTAAGAATATAAAGGCTATTCAATTCTAGTTTACAATTTATTTTATTAAAAGAAAAGGGAAAATTACAAATCATAACACTATTTTGTCCTAGTTTACATAATTTCATTTTACCATAGTTATATAGTGTTTTTAATTAGAGAGTCACATGAATATTTTTCTGAATTTTCTTAGCAAATTTCGCTAGTATAACACTATAAATTAAATTCAAAATATTAAATATTTTTAAAAAATATATATTTAACTAATGTATTCATCAAAAGCAAAGGTTCCATAATCATATAATATACCTATAACTAATATGTAGTCATGATGTGTTTTCCGAAATCCAAATTTCATATGTAATTAATTATGATAGTGTTTTATAATTGAAATTGTGCACAAACAAAACATTAAGGAATCCTTGAAAGGATTAAAGAGAAGTAAGGGATAATGGGAAGAAGTTCAGAAAAGTACTTTGGTGTGAAAGAATAGTCATCATTGTGTATCATACAATTATAATTAATTGCTAGTTTTAATTCTATCATTTGAATTTCTATTTTTTTCAACTTTTATTAATATTAACATTATTATGAAAACAATAAAAAATCATCTAAATTTTTAAGCTTGATCTATTGGAGAAGAAAAGATTTCTTTGGAGACTATTGTAAATAAATGTATTTTTAAAACTGTGAATCTTCAGTAGGTGAATTTACGTATAGTCTGTACTAAGAAATACTTATAACAATAATTTTCCAGAAAGATAAAACAACAAAGTTAAAAACATGCACTCAAATACAACATTTAATATCATAAAACACAAATTAATAACAGTAAGAAAACATACCAAGATTTGCAACAATAAAATGAAACAGAAAGGAAAATTTGTGCCAACTGAATGCACAATGTCTCCTTGTTAATGAGTCACTTAACAAGAGAAAAATAAATAAATATTTAATTGTGCAGAAGAAGGAGTTCATAATCAAATATTTAACTATGCAGAAGAAGATTATATTTTTTTAGGAATAATGCCCAAGTACCCCCTCAACATATGTCCGAAATCTCAGAGACACATTTATACTATACTAAGGTCCTATTACCCCCCTGAACTTATTTTATTAATAATATTTTACCCTTTTTCGACCTACGTGGCACTATCTTGTGGACCCAATGATGGTTGATTTTTTTTTCAAACTAGTGCCACGTAGGCTAAAAGGGGTAGAAAATTACTTATAAAATTAGTTCAGGGGGTAATAGGACCTTAGTATAGTATAAATGTGTCTCTGGAATTTTGGGCATAGATTGAGGGGGAACTTGTGCATTTTTCCCTATTTTTTAAAATGAGAGAAAACCCTACTATTTATAGACAATAAAAAATAGTGTGAACAAATGTTTATTGTGCCTAACCGAAGAGGTAACAATTTTTTGAAAATGTCACAACCTTTCATAAAAATCACAATTTCTCATAAAAATTAAAACTTTTGATAAAAGTCACAACTTTTCAATAAAAACCATAACTTTTCATATAAATCATGACTTTTCATGAAAGGGAGAGTTTATATATATATATATGTGTGTGTGAGAGAGAGATTGTTTTAACCATTAATTTTTCACTCCATTATATTTTATGGAGTTTATTAGTATTATGTGAATTAAATTTATTAATGAAAAGTTTTTTTTAATGTTAGTGGATTATATATATATATATATATATATACATATACGAATGATTGTTTTAACCATTAATTTGTCACTCCATTATATTTTATGGAGTTTATTAGTATTATGTTAATTAAATTTATTAATGAAAAGTTTTTTTCAATGTTAGTGGATTATTCCTATTTATATTATTAATAAAACTTTGCGGCTGTCAAGAATTTATAAGGTCAGAAGAATCATGTTAATTAATATATATAACTTGAAATAACTAATTAGTGTTGATGATAAAATTGTATGGTAAATGTTTAAGGCATACAATCAATCACTTAAGATGTAAACTTCACATACTTAAATCCACTCACGAGTCTAGAGACGTTTTACTAGTGCATTAAGTTTTATAATGCCCTCAATAAAGAAAATAGCCTCTAATTTCTTCGACAAAACGAAAGTTTGATAAAGTTAACGAAAAAAAATAATAAATTTATACCCTTGGAAGATTAACTATCCAAAACTTTTTCAACGTGAAAAAAGAATTAATTATTAACTTAAAAGCTAGTTAAACTTCTCATCTAATCAAGTAGGTGAATATTTTTTTCCAACCTAATACTAATTGCTAGATAACTTCTCATCTAATCAAGTAGGTGAATATTTTTTTTCCAACCTAATACTAATTGCTAGATATTTAATTTTCACCTTTTTGCCTAGGATTACACTTGGAAGTTTTTTTTTTTTCAGTGGTTAACAAGGCGCACAACCCTTTGCGCGGCGAAACACACTCGCATTTTATAAGATATTGTCAACTCACGCCTTATAAAGCACATAGAAAGGTGCGTCTTGCACCTTATTATCCTCATTTACATGTATTTATCCTACCGTTTAAATATTGAATTTTTAAATTTTTTGATCAATTAAAGATTAAAGAGAGAAAACGGTCTATCGTTCATATTATTTAGTTAACAAAATAAATCTTAACCATTAAATAAATACACACATGTCAATCAATCAAAGCCACATTAGACCAAATATAGGGATGGACTACATTTGGCTTAATACTCTCATCTCTCTCATGCTTAAATTAAAAATTAAAAACCATTATAGCTAATAATAAATAGTGCTTTTAGTACTCGTATAATAAAATTCAACCCCCCTACTGCTCTACTTCCACTCTCACATGTCAAAAAGTGATTCTTCTATGCAGTTGTTGGTTGTAAAGAACAAAGAAAAAATGAAGTATAAAATGAATTATCCATTCACATTCACACTGTCATTTTATTTTGGTCTGAAAAAGCTAAAGAAATCGAATATGTTGTTCCTATTCAATGTGAGCATCTGACACATTCTTCTTCACCTTCTGAAACTTTGAATCGGTGGTTATACGCACACGCATATATTGTTGCTTTGACTGTTATCTTTGATACCAAGTCAAGTATTTGGTCGAATATTATTTTTTACTTTTTTTTTGCGGTCAAATGGCTGCTTCTTCGTCTAGAGGACGAAGTAGCTCGCCATCGCCATTTCATTATCGTAAACAATCAAATTCATTTTCATCTTCAAATTCATTTATGAATGGTGGTCGTCTTATGCCGAGATCAGTTTCTTCTTCAACTACATCTTTTATTGGCTCTGCCTCTGGTTCCAGATCCATGACTCCTAGCCGGAACCGAACTGATTTAGCTTATTCACGACCTCACGGGAATCGTTCGCCGGTTAATTATCCTTCAGCTGAGGAATTGTTGGTTAATGAGCCGGTGGATATGTCCAGATCGGGAGAGAGTATTTCTGTGACTGTTAGGTTTCGGCCAATGAGGTAAATACTAGATCTAGCTCTTTTTTATTTTTGGATCTATGTATTGGTTTATTGGAAGGATTTGAGGTGTTTTAACGTTTGAAATTGAGTGTCCTGATAATGCGGCTGTTATCGTGTGGTGGCAGTGAAAGAGAATATCAGAAAGGCGATGAAAGTGCTTGGTATGCAGATGGTGATAAAATTGTGCGGAATGAGTATAATCCTGCAACAGCTTATGCCTTTGGTATAATTCTAACCATTTTTTTTAGTCTTTTCATGATTTTGATTGAGTGTATTATTTTGGGAATAGTATGAAGTTTAGATATTTTTCCCAGATCATTTCTTAGTAACTGGCATTGCCTTTTATGATGGCTATTCCAAGTTTAATTTTTTTTTTCTTTTTCATATTCTGATTTCTAGATAGAGTATTTGGACCTGATACAAGTACCCAGGATGTTTATGAAGTAGCTGCCCGACCCGTTGTGAAGGCTGCAATGGAAGGCATTAACGGTATGATAATTGATTGTTGATGTGTAATATCTGTGAGCATGTCAGCTTTTGAGCTAGAGAGAACATGTCTATGAGTTATTTCTTTTTACATAATTCTGTTCAAAAGCCTTGTTTGAAGAAAACTAATCTCTGCCAAGTGATTAGCAGTAGTCGAGCTATCCACCGAATGTGCTGATAGTACTAGACGACTCACAATTCCAAGGGACTACATTCTTGGGCTGAAGTTTTTTATTTGAGTGTGTAGTGAGTTGCATTTTCCAGTTCAGTTTCATTGACACAAGATCTGCTGATTATGCAGGCACAGTTTTCGCCTATGGTGTTACAAGTAGTGGCAAGACGCACACTATGCATGTAAGTTATTCCTTTGGGAGATCTCCTTTTTTCTTGAATTTCACAGAAGCTTTGCTGACTTATGCTGCATCCCATACAAACAGTTTAGGATTATTTAACTGCTAACGCTGACAAAGTTAGTTTAAGAATATTGCTTTATAATTTCATTGGGCTAGTGGTCAATGAAAGTGGGTTGAGATTCATGAGGTCGTAGGTTCAAATTTTAGTGGAAGCAATGATTTTTCCCCATCTGTCCAAGCCTTGATGGATAGAGAAACTCAATAGTTGTGCTGGTTGGAGGTAGCAGATGCCCTATAGAATGAGTCAAGGTGCACGTGAGCTAGTCCTGTCACCACACTTCAAAAAATAATCTTTATTAAGAAAAAGTTAATTTAAGAACATTGTGTTACTTTAATATCAGTAGCATTGTTTGAATTGGACGATCAAACTTAGTATTTACTTCATTTTGATCCTTCATTTGCCAAGAACACCCCCCACCCCCCAACCCCCACCCCCCCAAATTAGACTAAGGATATATCCATATAAAAGTGCCTAAAGGCCCGACTAGTGTTCAATAGAGTAGGTTGAAAACCATGAGGTTTCAGGTTCAAATCCTAGCGAAGGCAAAATACTAGGTGCTTTCTTCCCCATCCTTAGTGGATAGAATTACCCGATACTTGTGCTAATGAGCGGTAGTAGGTACCTTGTAAAATTAGTTGAGGCGGCAAGAGCTGGCCCCGATTCCACAATTATATATAATTTATTTTTGATAACCGTGGTTTCCAAGCGCTGTTGCGCGCATGTCGACATATTTTATGGGGCACCTTCCACCTCCCACCTCCCACCAACAACATGTTACTCTGCCTACCCAAGGCTTGAATAGATGGAAAGAAATCACCTAGTTTTTTTGTTTCTATTGGGGTTTGAACCTGAGCTTCATGGTTCTCAACCCACTTCATTGGCCACTAGACAACCCCCTTGAGTGTGTTTCTACAGTTTATATATAATATAAAAGAACGTAGTTTAAGAATAGAGTGTTATTTTTATGTATGTAGCATTGATGAAATTAATGGTTAATTAATTATTGCTTCATTTTTATCCTTTATCCTCCCCCCACCCCGCAACCCTTCCCAACCGAAAGTTCTCTTTATCACCATATTAATTTAAGATATTGATTCCTACAGGGAGATCATATTTCTCCAGGTATAATTCCGTTGGCGATAAAGGATGTTTTTAGCATCATTCAAGATGTAAGTCAGCTTAAATTACATGTTCACTAAAATTTTGATCCACGCTTCTCTTGAAGCATGGCTCTAAGGCACATGCCTTTCTTCACTTTTATTCAAGCTTGATAGCAATTCTTGTTTAAAATTCTAGAATGCCTTTATGAAGGTGTGACTTGCTCTTACTAGTCCAAACAGAAAGTGTGACTAATCTTAAAAATTGTCTTGCAGACTCCTGGATGCGAGTTCTTACTTCGCGTATCATATCTTGAAATTTATAATGAGGTTAGTATCGTGCACATTAGCCATCTACTTATAAATATGACGAAAGTGGCATGAACTAGAAAGACTAAAGATTAATTGTACTGAAAGAGCATCCTTTGTTACAGAGGCTGTATCCATCTTAAGAGTTCTGGATAAAATAAAAGACAGCTGATATATACTGTGAAATGATTTCTGAAGTAGATTTATCATCTCTCTGTATGCTTTTATATGTGGCATACTTGTTTAATTTCTCGTACCAAATATTAACTTGAGTTAGTGTGCATGCTCGTCATGGTTATGATGCCAGGTTATCAATGACTTGCTGGATCCAACTGGCCAGAATCTGCGTGTCAGGGAAGATAATCAGGTAGTGGTTGCTAATAGTACTAGTTTTTGTTGTTCAAGGAAATTGCAGGGTTATTGAGCAAGAGTTTTATTTGTTTAATTAAAAAAAGGGCCTGTTCCAGGAGTTAGTTTTGGTAGTTTGATCTCTTTCCTTTGATGTTTGTTTTTGAAGATGAGAATGATTCAGGAAGAGAAATTAGCACAGTACTCCTACAAATGATTGTTTCCAAGAAATCATAGAAAATTATCAAGAAACTAGTCTCCCAGCATGCCATATATGTTTGAGATTTATCTATAATATCAATTCAATATGACTACCTCTTTATTTCTCAAAAGTAATAAATAAGAAGTAGAAGCTAGCATATTAAGTTTGAAGTGCTTAAAAGGTTGAGATCTGATTTCTTCACATGTTATTTCAAATTCTGCAAGTCCTATATCTGATAGTCTCGAACCAAATCCTGATGTTTCTGGTGAAGTTCTTCTATCTATATTAGAGATATTAATGTTGCTTTCTAAAGTCCTGACTTTATATGTTGCTCTGTAGTCCTTAATTCTTTGTACATGCAACGTATGTGCAGGGTACTTATGTTGAAGGTATAAAGGAAGAAGTTGTTTTGTCACCTGGGCATGCACTTTCTTTCATTGCTGCAGGGGAAGGTAATTGGTGTAAGCTATTCAGGTCTGTCTTTGTTGACAGCTGTGGTTCTTGTTACCTATATTGATATTGATTATCATTTGCCTATTCCAGAGCATCGACACGTTGGTTCCAACAATTTCAACTTGTTTAGCAGCCGTAGTCACACAATATTTACCTTGGTGAGTATAGTATGATGGTTCATTGTTATGTATTGCTTATTGCAACTAGAAACTTCTATGTCATGCACTTAATTTTTGAAGGAATGCAAGCTGCTGTGTGTAATTATGGATAACTTTTGGTAAGATAGGAGAATTTGACCTGCTGGTCTATTGGGTCACTCTTTCTAGTAAACTTGGGTTTCTTTCATTTTTTGTTGGGAAGATAGACTGGATAATAGCTGATATCCAGTGCATATGATACCTAAATTGTTAACCATACAACAATAACATACTCAGTGTAGTCCCACAAGAGGGTCTAGGGTGGTAGAGTGTATGCAGACCTTACCCCTACCTTGTGAAGGAAGAAAGACTGTTTCCGAGCCTAAACATATATATATAAACATATATATGTAATTTCCATTTCGCAGCCTTTGAATGATAGAACTATAAAAACTTTTAGTGCTTCAATAGAATGCTCCATTTTATGTTTCTTCTTGTTTTTTATGTGTCAACTTTGTGTGATAAATTTTATTCAATTGGGATGGGAAAATGCCTTCTTTTGTTTAGAATTGGAGATGGAATTGTGAAAGGTTGAGATTTTTCTTATCAAAAAACAACGGAAGTTTGAACTAGACAATATCTTATTGTGACTTGATTGATTTTGCAGGGTGACTAATCTGTCAACCCACATAATTTTGTTCCTCTGCATAATCTCAAAATGTGTTTGTTTTCCAAGTTTCATGATAATAAAAGAATCTGCCAGTTCTTAGAAAGTTGCATGAGGAACTCTTGTTGAATGAAGACCTACAAAAGCACCCTAAATATATATAATTTTCTTATTTGTCTTGTTTATTCATTGTTTAACATTATATAAACTTGAATATCTGTAAAGAACTAATGATAATAACTTTCCTATAATATCAAATCCTGGTACGGTGTTGGGAAGAAACTTCTGCTAAAATGGGATTATGGTACTTAACTGTGTGTTGCAGGTTCATTTATCCAATTAGCGCTATTAGAATATTGGATGGAAACTGTTGGAGCAGTAACTAATTTTTTTTTTTGGTTACGTGAATAGTGAGTTGGAAAAACTGTCAGTTCTGCCTCATCGAAAACTGTCAATTATGTTTGGTCCATTCCTTGTGACATTTCTTTCTTGAAAGCAGTGACGTGGTTTTTATCTTGATTGTTGATATTCAGTCTTCAATCTGTAAATGTTTTTAAAAAAGCTTCAATCTGTAACTGCTACTGAATTGAACCAAATAGCTAAATACTTTGGTTTTATCTTCCTTCTAGTGTAGACATTTCAATTGTTATATTTGCTACATGGTTTTGGCAATGACGTCTCATTGTATACATTATTACACGTTGTGCAGATGATTGAAAGTAGTGCTCATGGAGACGAATATGATGGAGTGGTCTTCTCACAGCTTGTATGGCTACTGGCTTTGTGTGTTCTCTAATAAACAACCGTGCATCATAGTATCTAATGTTTTTGCTTTTCCCATTAGAACTTGATTGATTTAGCTGGATCTGAGAGTTCTAAAACTGAAACAACGGGATTGCGGAGAAAGGAAGGATCATATATCAACAAAAGTCTTCTGACTCTTGGAACTGTAAGTACTAAACCATCAGTGGTTAAGGGTCTCCATGTAGTTTTGCTATAACTGTTGCATATTACCCTCTGTTGTAATATCTCAATTATGTGAAAAATAGAGGGAAAAAAGAGAGAAAAGAAGACTATTTACCCTCTAGGTTTTCATTACCAAAAAGAAAAAAGAAAAAAAGAGAGAAGACTCTATTGAATTGGTTGTAGACAATAAGAGGGCTCCACATGGAGGAGTTGAGGCTGTGAGAAATAAGGCAAATTGAGACTAAATGAAACGAGGAAATTACATAAATATCTAGATTCCTAATTGTGACAGAACTAGAAAGAATCTTCTATTCGACTAACCTAAACTCAAGAAATGAATCTAATGTTCTAACAATAACTAAGTCATTTCTCTTGGCTTTCAACAAATTATTTATGCTCATGATCTATCATTATTTTGCATTGGGGCTAGCTGATGAGTAAAGTAGATTTTTATATGTTTATTCAGTTTCAGTTTGACACCTTGATTCTGCAATCATGCATAGGTCATTGGAAAGTTGAGTGAAGGGAAGTCATCTCATGTTCCTTACCGGGATTCTAAACTTACTCGGCTGCTCCAGACTTCACTGAGTGGGCATGGACATGTGTCTGTAAGTATGATGAAGATATACAATACATTTCCATTTCATTGACCTTTCTTTTCTTTATTGAGCTGTAATGCTTTATTTGATATGCATCTTTTACTCCTAAATTTGTATCATCTGTTCTCACCTGATACTCCTGTTGCTTGATAAGGCCTAAGGAGATTACAGATAGGTCTAATTTACCTCTTCTTTCATGTCTTCTGTAGCTCATATGTACTGTTACTCCTGCATCAAGCAATATGGAGGAAACACACAATACACTGAAGTTTGCAAGCAGGGCTAAACGTGTGGAGATTTATGCATCACGCAACAAGGTTTGCTCTGTTTGTAATTTAAGTGTTGTGGAATTGGAGTTGTGAAGGATGAATCTTGATATATCTGTCTTTCAGATTATTGATGAGAAATCCCTGATTAAGAAATATCAAAGGGAAATATCATGTCTCAAAGAAGAGCTTGATCAACTAAGAAGTGGGATGCTTGTCGGTGTTAATCCTGTAGAACTTATGACTTTGAAACAGCAGGTAATTTTTCAAGCTACATAGTGAAGTCTGTCTACCGCTAAAGATCAGAAATGTGTGCGCACTAACTATATGCTTAAAGACATCTCTACTTTATAAGCATTTGGGGATTAGAATTTTGGCTGTAATTGGGTTCTGGGGCTTATAACTTATTCATGGTCCTCTGCAGTTAGAAGAAGGGCAAGTGAAAATGCAATCAAGATTGGAAGAGGAGGAGGAAGCCAAGGCAGCTTTAATGAGCCGGATACAGAGGCTAACTAAACTGATCCTTGTTTCTTCAAAGAATTCAATCCCTGGGTATTTGGGTGATGTTGCTGGGCATCAGAGGAGCCATTCTCCTCCTGAAGATGATGTAAGCTGCTCTTCCTTTCATCATGACTTCTGTTTCTTTATGCTGTTCTTTGCCACTCAAGTACATCGGTAGTTGGTATCTGAATCCTATCCTCGATGAAATCTTGAAGATGCATCATACTTTCTGATTTTCAAAAGACTTTTGGCTGGTAGCTTGGTTTGGTACTACGTATAGTTTCAGTTAGCATGCACTAATTTTCTTCTTTCATTGTTTAACCAGTTTAATGCTGTCCCTCTATTTCAGGGAAGTAAAAGTACTCTTTCTCATTTTTCTTCTTTTTATTCTTATCTCAAATTCAAAGTATTTAAGGAATAGCTATATTACACATTATTCTTTTCTTGCAGATGATATGATATGTTATCTAGGATAAACTATCTTTTTCTGTGTATTGATCTTCTATCCTTATTCCCCCTACTCTTCCATCAGAAGATGGATAGTTCTATGCTTATAGATGGCGAGAATCAGAAAGACCCTTCAGCAGATACTTCTGATCCGAAACACAGAAGATCTTCTAGCAAGTGGAATGATGGTATATCTCAGGTGGGGAATGCAATCACTGAATCAGCTCAGGTGGGTGAATATATTTAAAACTTCCAATAGGCAAGACTACCATAGTGATTCTTAATATTGCTAACATTAATGCTCTGGTGGATTTGAAAGATTTGTCATAAACATAGATGTTAGTTGGTCATTTAAGCTTTATATTGTGAAGTTTACTGCGAGTGCTTTCTGAGGTTTTGTCTTTCTGCAGAATTTGATGTGTCTGCATTTATGTTCCTTGTGAATTAAGAAGTTAGAATGCCGAAATACTCAGCAAGCTCATCATTTTGTATTAGGAATGAGAAGTTATTTAAATCCAATAGCTATACTACATTTACTTCCAAGTCCAGCATTGCACATGTAGATTTGAGTTTCCTGTACCTCTGATGTTTGAATGGGGCTTAGATAGTAAAGCTTTCAGTCAATTCTGTAGTGTGTTTAGATAGTAAAGCTTCTAGGAAAAGGTGCAACATTATTGCCCTTTACTCATTTATCAGGTTTTGATTTTTGTTTTCTTTTTTCATTTGATTGTCTTTTTATTTGATTATAGGAAGGAATTTCTATGTCTGATCAGATGGACCTTCTAGTTGAGCAAGTCAAGATGCTTGCTGGAGAGATTGCCTTCAGCACCAGTACATTGAAACGCCTTGTTGAGCAATCTGTTAATGACCCCGAGAGTTCGCAAACACAAGTAACTCTTTTGTCTTTCTGGACTCAAATGTTTTGTAACAATTTGCCTTCTAGATTGTGATATATCACCAGGTTCTGCATTCTGCATCTCTTGTAAGGTCTTCAATTTTTAATGTTTCAAAAAACTTCAGTGAATTTGTCAATGATGCTTTTCAGAAAGTCATGTGTATATAATAGTGTTTCAGCTAAGGAACATAGTCAATTCTAGAAGCGTCACTAGTAACAATGGGGTCTCTTTGATCTTTAAAGTTCCTAGGATCCTACAAGTTCAAATCCCCTACAGAGACAAAAACACTAGGTGATTTCTTTCCATCTGTCCAAGCCTTGGTGGGCAGAGTTACCGTACCTGTTACTGGTGCGAGGTGAAAGGTATCACGTGGAACTAGTTGATGCACGCAAGCTGCCCCATACACCACAGTTGTAAAAAAAGAGTTCATAGGATCTTGAATGCTTGACGACCTACCACAAGATGTAGCAGTTTGTTCATCCTGACTATTTTGCTTCTTCCTTGAGCAATTGCAGCTGTCTGAAGCACATAGAGACAATTTTCATTCAATCCTTTCAGTAGATGTATTTTTTTGTATCTGGACTTATTGTAGTTCTGAATTCTTATGACAGATTCAAAATTTAGAGTGTGAAATTCAAGAGAAGAGAAAGCAAATGAGGATGTTGGAACAACATATTGTTGAAAGTGGTAAAGCATCTGTTGCAAATGCATCCTTCGTCGAAATGCAGCAGGTGATGTCATGTTAACCTTTTCTACTGTTATGGACATTTCTCCACCTCTTACGGGGTCTGTACTTTGTCTCATATTACTATTTTTGACAGACTTTGATGAAATTGATGACACAATGTAGTGAGCAGAGTTTCGAGCTTGAGGTTGGTTACCCTATAAAAGCTCAGTCAAGTACACTTAAACAAAAAAATCTAAAAAGTCTCATTCTTGTTACAAGCTTGTAACCATCTATTTTTTTTGGATTAAGTTGGTTACAATTTGATCTTGTGATGCAGATAAAATCTGCAGATAATCGGATTCTCCAGGAACAGCTGCAGAACAAGGTCAAACAAGGCATTATATCTTGTTGCAAATAAAATAACCTAGTAGCCAAATATTATTGACTTTTCCCTATTCATTTTTATAATGAGTAGCTTATTGTATTTCCTAGGCATAATTTGGCTGTTACGTTTATGGTGTTTTCAGTGCTTAGAGAACAAGGAACTACAAGAAAAGATTTGTCGTGTTGAACAGCAGCTAGCTGCATTTAAGGCAGAACAAGCGAATCCCTCATCAGAAAGATGTGTATCTGATGAATATATTGATGAGCTTAGAAGGAAAATTCAGTCCCAGGTGATTTTAAGAGCTTTCTATCCTCTACTTATTGGTCTGCATCTTGAGTTCTTGAGGTGGGTAGTAACTTTTGATAGTAGTTATTGATCTGATAAACAGAGGATCTTTTATCTTCTGGAGAAAAAATGGATAAGGGTTTCCTTGGGGTGGGGGTTTCTCAGGAGCAAGTATAGCCTGATTACCTGAGGTTTAAATACATGGTTCAGAGTGCATCATGCTTTGGATTTCAATAAAACATAAGAGGAATTCAAGGACTATATGAAGGTTTAAGAAATCTTCTTTCATACAAGTTCGACTAAACCAGAAGAAAGAAGAAACCTGTGTTATCCAAGTTGATGGATTTTTCTATTTAAAAGAACCTGTTGTAATATGTTTCAGAATAACAAGTAGTTTAAAATTTCTCCAACTAAGGAATTTAAATGATTTGATTAATGGATTTGATGAGTGGGCCTATTCTCTCCCTTCTCTTTATCCTAAGTTAATGTATCAAGCTTTACCTTTCTCTCTTTGACATTGTTAGCTGTTCTGTGACTAAAATTTTTGCTTTAGAACAATCCAATGCATGTCGCCTAAACACATTATTTTTGTTGTGATTGACTTTCTGTAGTTTTTGTTTTCTTGACGAAATTGGCATCTAAGGTTTATTTTTGAATGAATTGGTAATTTAAGTCCTTATGTTTTCAGTATTTAATGAAAATAAAAGTTGACATGAATCTGTGTGGTAAACTTTTGATCTTCTATGGCTTCGATTATCCCCAATTATCAGACTAAATCTCGAGACCCTTTGTTTAATGACCTTCATGATTGTACAGGAACATTAATATGGTTGTACATGCTTTATTTGAATTCATATCATGGTTCTAATATGTTTTGCAATTTGAGCAGGATGTTGAGAATGACAAGCTAAAGCTGGAACATATTCAGCTTGCGGAGGAGAACAGTGGGCTGCATGTGCAAAACCAGAAATTGTCAGAGGAAGCTTCATACGCAAAAGAATTAGCATCTGCTGCTGCTGTTGAACTGAAAAATTTAGCTGCTGAAGTCACAAAGCTCTCATTACAGAATGCAAAACTGGAGAAAGAATTGTTGGCTGCCCGAGAGATGTCGAGATCTAGGAGTTCCAATGCACAAACTGGTAACGTCAGTAGCAGAAAGCATGGTGAAAACATAAGACCAGGGCGTAGAGGCCGGGTTTCTGGTCGAGTAAGTGAAATTTCAGGAGGGATTCATGATGACTTCGACACGTGGGACCTAGATCCTGAAGATCTAAAGATGGAGTTGCAAGCAAGAAAACAACGTGAAGCAGTTCTTGAGGCTGCGTTGGCTGACAAGGAGATTGTGGAAGATGAGTACAGGAAAAAGGTAGAGGAGGGAAAGAAAAGGGAGGCTTCTTTGGAAAATGATTTGGCAAATATGTGGGTGCTCGTCGCTCAACTAAAGAAAGAGAATAGTGCTAGGCAAGACTTGAAACTGGCAGCTGACTGTCAATTAAGTGGAGAAGGCAATATGGTGAATCCAGAAATTAATGTTGGTGACAACAAGGATCTCATCCCTGATGTTAGCCAAGACGGGGTTCATACAAATGCAGCTGCTGAGATTCTGAAGGAAGAACCTCTGGTGGCCCACTTGAAGGTAATTAAGCTTGTCCTTTTCTGATCGGTTATCTGCACCTTTGTCTGGCATGTAGTGTTTGACATATCCTTCTCATTCATCTGAACTTTCTGCTGTTGTTTAACTTTTATGTGAACATTTGTAAAATGTTACATAAAATCGAAAGTTGGAGACAATTTTAGCTGTAAGCTGTATTCTTCATTTTCTGGTGTGGAACTTTCTTTTTTAAACCGGGGTTGTAGTTTATTTATACTTGTTTATTCTAATGGTAGTTGTGGAAGAAGATCAAAGTGGTAATTTGAAAGTATTTTGGGGAAAATATTGCTGGAGAGTTGACAAAATCTGAATAATCAAATACATTTATTTTTTTACAGATGAAGTTATATAGAGTGCTACTTTCTGTAAATATATCAAATGGATTTTACATTATGAAAGTATGTTTTATGTAAATAGGATGAAGAGTCGGGAATAGGGATGTAAATGGGGCACGGCCGGGAGAGGGCAGGTCAAGCTTTTACCCGCTAAAATTTTAAACCGCCTGCCCCCCTTCCCTATTAAATGTTAGTCCTACTCTTTTCAGTGCTTTAATCTTTCTAACAAAGAACTATTTAATTTTTAAATCATAAAGGATTGGGTATTAACAAATACTGTTCGCTTTTCTTATTATTAAGCATAAAGGATGACTATTGTGTTTGAGTCTTTTATTAATTTTTTCAACAATATCTTTTATTATTGAATCAGTGGAAATTGGTCTAGGAATATCTGCCAAATTAAATTCTTTGTCGTGTTTCTCTTTTGCACACTCCTTAAGAAAACATTAATTAGGAGCTTTTGTGTGTGACTATTTTACCCTCATTTATATCTTAAAATATAATCACTCTTCATCAAAAATATCTACTCTATTGAGGTGTTCGTAATCTTCAAGAATAATTATTACCAAGTATAAAAGGGAAAATAATAAATAATTTTGTCTTGAACTTCTAAAATGACAAATAATTTGAGATAATTATTTTTATACATCATGACACATAATTTGAAAAGGAGGGAGTATTGGACAAGAACCAGAAGATTCCCATTATAGTATAGTGAAACTACTGACATTACACTGATCACATAACAACATTCTAATATTGAATTAGAACACATCACATGAAGAACAACTAACTAATACTCTGACATCCTTTTTAACATTATGTGATATAATCGATATAACAGTTTTCCTGATTGCATCTGCAGTCCTCTTTTAAAATTTATATCTAATATATATGTCATTCTATACATGCACATTAAATATTATGTATTTATCACTAATATCTTTGTTTTCATACAATTATTTTTTGTTTTTTCTAATTTATATTTGTATGTTGAGTGAACAAAAGTGTCCATTCTGGTTACCTTGGTATAAAGGAAAATAGTTTGTTATCTCTTCCTGTCTGCATTTTTCTTTATATTTTAAGGAAAATAATTTGTTCATCTTCTCCCTGTCTGCATTTTTTCTTTGTATTTTAAGGGGGGTTAATTTGACAGATAGATTCGACTAAAATAAATAAGTATTGACAAAGTTCGTCACCCCCTTAGTACCCATAGAATTGATCATCTCTTTGGTGAACTTGTATGATTGGTAGTATTTAGTAAGCTACCAACAAAGGTGAGATAGTCAGATGAAAGAATGGGCCAAATGCCCAAAACAACCTTGGCCCCCTGCCCTGCCTCATTAGAAGTTCTTACAATATATGTTTTTTCCTGTCCCTCCCCACCCTGTCCCACCCCATTTGCCATCCCTAGACTCAGGTATCACATCTTACTGTTTCGGCTTACTAGAAAGTGGTGCCCACTATTGTTATTTCTGTGTCATAATGACTCCAAAAAGAATATGGGAGTTTTCCATGATGTTTTACATTTGCACCTCCAGGCTCGAATGCAAGAAATGAAGGAGAAAGATATACACTTGGGCAATGGTGATGCAAATTCACATATATGCAAAGTATGTTTTGAGTCACCTACTGCTGCAATGCTCCTTCCTTGCCGACATTTTTGTTGTAAGATGCTATTTTAATTCTTTGCTTCCATTATTTGTGCTCTCATGATGTATAGGCTGTTCTGATGTGGTCTTAATATTGCAGTGTGCAAGTCTTGTTCCCTGGCTTGCATTGAGTGTCCAATTTGTCGGACAAAAATTGTAGATAGGATTTTTGCTTTTACTTGACTTTGCACTTCAATTGCATGGAATGATGGTGCAAAAAAAGGTTCTACTCCTCATGAATCACACTTCACTTTTACCTCTGTGCACACATACATTCTGAAAAATGTTTCTTACTGTCTTCTCTTCACATACATTATGAAATATATTTCTTACTGTCTTCTCTTCACTGCAGGAGTTCATTTATTCTCGTCAACTTGCCATATTCTATTATATTCTTTTATTAGTTCCACTGTATGTAAATTTCCGGCTACCCTATTCAAATGCTATATCATTTTTACAATGTACTTAACCAAGGACTATCAAAGAAAAAGACAAAGCAACAGAGGAAGTGATGCAAATTAGTAAATCTGAAGTTCTCAGGAGTTGCTATATGATCTCCTTGACCTTTAAATGTAGTGTATAGAACAGATGTGTAATACAAAATGTCATGTTAACGTTGTATTTTTTTATTTTTTTTTGCAATTTTTTTAACCGTCTATATCAATTGTCTGTAGTAAGAGTTGCTAGATGATGTATAAGTTGTAATTGTAATTGATTAACTCAGTTGTCATGTAGTTAGTTATGCAGTTTGATATTTGTTAGAGGTGGTTAGTAGTGACACAAATATCCCCAAGTTTTTTAACTGCAGGTACTTTCTTTCTCTTCATATTAAAGCGTGAGTGTTTGTGTTTTAGTGGTGAATGATGTAATGATACTCATGTTCTTTTTGTTTTTTTTTTCCTATCTTTTGACCCTTAGTCTCGATATATCATTTGTGGCTTGTGAGGATGATGATATGCTCAAAAATGACACCTTAAGACGATAGACTCCTCAATTTTGTCATTTAGAGCTGATATGTCCTTGTTATGAAAGTAGCTTATATATATGCTTATCATTATACAAACTGTTCATATATACCCCTATCGTTATAAAATGCGTTTACATATACCCTTTATTTAATGAAAGTGAAAAAATTAGTTTTAAATTTTTATTTTCTTTTTAAATTTTTTAGGAATATATATAATTCTTTTAGCAAAGTTTAAAGTATATTTTAATCTTTTCACATACATAAATTAGTAAACTCAAACAATGTAACAGTTGAATCCTGCAGACAATAGGGAGAAAGACTACAAATTTAACGAATATTTGATGAATAGTCTAATTTATATTATGTGAAAGTGGAAAGGATTTTGTTTTTATTTAAGAGAAAAGACATAAAGTGATACGTGAAGTTGTTTCGAATTTTTAAAAAGACACCTTAACTATGCAGATGTTCATTTACCCCCTTAAACTAACATATATTATTATATCATTTTTGGAACAATTTCAGATTTTAAATGGCAAGTGTAATCACACACCAATCATTGTGCAACACATGTTAATACAATTTGAAATATTATTTTTTTCATTTTAAGTTTTCTCTATTTCTTTCTCTTACTTTTTGACTTATTTTAGTTTTATTTTTTATTTAAATTTTTAATTCATCTTCTACCTCAACTTACAAGCTTCCTCCATTTTCTTTCTTTATTCTTTCTTCAACACCTCTTATCCTCACCTAACCCCACACCACATCCATATCAAGTTGAGTCCCTCCATTTTCTTTCTCTTTTCTTCTTCTTATTTGGTCAAATTTCTTACTTTCCAAAATTATACTATTTTTAAGACTTTGTTGAGTTATTGATAACAAAACTAATTATTTTTCTAAGAAAGATCAAAATTTTGAAGGTATCATCATTTAATTTATCTCATTTCCATATAAATTCAAAACTAGAAATGATAAATTTGAAAGCATAAGAATTCTCCGAAAATTGAAAAAGTTTAATTAGAATTTGGATAAAAAACTAAATAATGTCTACTAATCATCTAGAAATCTAATGGATTTATCACATTGTTCGAAATATATTAAAATATCTAGATATAATTATAAAATTGAAGAGAGTTAAACTAATAGTAGAATAAAAGAGAGATGGAGTTGTGGTAAAAAGTGACATTTAAAGTGATAAGTTAATGAATATGACAATGAATTTTTGAAGAAGAAGGAAGAAAGAAAAAGAAAAAAATAATAAGGAGAAAAAGTTAAAATAATAAGAAAAATAAAAATATATATTTTATAGTAATTTTTTTGTAAAATAAAAGTATATTTGTTCTTTAGTTTGTTCAGGCTCTTTAAGAGAGTGTATACACGCTCCATGCCAAGTGGACAAAAAATGATGTAATAATATCAGTTTAGGATTGTTTAGGGGGTAATAGGACACTTGTATATTTTAAGTGTTTTTTTTAAAATTTGGAACAACTTCAGGTATCACTTTATGTCTTTTCTCTTTATTTAAAGACTAAAGTTGCATTAGTACTTGAGTTTAAATTATATGATTAAGGAATTACGGCTGTGCCCCTCAATAGAATGTCCTTTTCTTGAAGTTCATGCAATTATAAATATTGAGTCTTTGGATATGCACTCACCATTATACAATCTTTTTCAAGAGTTTTGAACAATTTATGATTCGGAAAAGGGCATAAAATATCTTTAAAGTATTGAAAATGGTATAAAATTACCTCCATCCTCCTATTGGTTTCAAAATACTCTTGTCATTCACCTTTGTGTTCAAAATTGACCACTTATTTAAAGATTTTAAATTTAAACTATATATATATATATATTAAATCTGTGGCACTCAACTATTTGTTATAATTTAACTTATTAGTATAATTTATAAATCAATCCACTACCACTCATTACTAATTAAACCCCACCAAATTAATAAATCCGTCACATTACTAATGCAATAACAAGAAAGCTACTGGCAATGAATGTTTTTAAAAATTTGAGGTGAAAATATCTATAAAAGTAAATTATCATACATTCAAGTCTCTAAATAAAAATTACTGATAAACTTAAAAGTCTGACTATGTTCATCTTAATTATTCTTTCATCTCAATTATGTGATGTTACTTCATAGATAACTTTTTTTTAAAAGATAATATATTAAAGGTTTTAAAACAAATCATAAATATTTATAAAATTATATTTAAAAAAATGCATGAATTAATTTGGGATGTACTACTTCTTTACTTTTAATCATAAATTTCGAATTCAAACTTGAAAGAGAATCCTATTGAAAGTGTCCACCTAAATAAGCGACTATTGAGGCTTCATTCGGACTCAAATAATTTTAGTTATCATTTTTAGGAATGTACAATTTTGTCGTTTTTTAGTAGTGTCTATGGTGATTTTGATATTATAATTAGTTTATTAATTGGGTGTGGTTTAGTTAGTAATGAGTGGGTAGTGGGTCGGTTTAAAATTATATTGATAAATTAAATTATAATCAATAGTTGAGCGCCAAGTATATTAAAAAATATTTATACAATTTAATTTTAAAACGTTAAATAAGTGATCAATTTTGAATCCAAAGGTGAATGACAAGGGTATTTTAAAGTCAATAAGTGGGTGAAAAGGATATTTTAAAGCCAATGGGTGGATGAGGGTAATTTTGTACTATTTCCAATACTTCGAGGATATTTTAAACATTTCTATAAATCTGTATGAGTTCTTTGGATAAAAATGACATATTATGTCATATAAATTCAACTGATTCTTAAGAGATTTGTTAAATAAGAGGATGATGCCTTGAGTTTATACAGTTTATACCAAATCTTATAGTAAGAGGAAACTACATAAATGAGTTATAAGTCCAAAAATAATTAGATGTTGATATCTTTATTCAAAATATTTCAAGAGATATCATTCTCTAAAAAATGAGGATGATGCCTAGAGTTCATAATGTTACCCCCTCAACCTATGCCCGAAATTTCAGAGACACACTATACTATACTAAGGTTCTATTACCCCCTGAACTTATTTTATTAATAATTTTTTATCCCTTTTTAGCTTACGTGACACTATTTTGTGGGTCCAACGATGGTTGACTTTTTTTCGAACTAGTGCCACGTAGGCTAAAAGGGGGTAGAAAATTACATATAAAATAAGTTCAGGGGGATAATAGGATCTTAGTATAGTATAAGTATGTCTCTGGGATTTCGGCATAGGTTGAGGGGGTACTTGAGTATTTTCCCTTTCTTTTTATCCTATTTTTCTCTCTCTCTCGTTAATTATTTATTATTCTTATTCTCTTTTATTATTTTTTTTATTTTTTCCTATATTACAAATACCATTTAGTAATAATTTTATTATTTCTATGTTTTTGTTAGTTTATCTTCTTTTTAATTTTTTTCGCTTTTCATATTTTCATATTTTTAAGAAAATAAAATAAATTGTTTTTGTCCTTTCCCATTTATTACTTTAATATTTCATGGAAGTTACATTACCTATGAAATAATATGCATGACGCATGTCATAGTTTAGAAAGACCAAAATATCAAGTAAGTCAAGACATTTTTACTTCATGAATCATGACAGTGTTTTACTTTAAGCACTTCTAAGAAACTGTTAATAATAGTGACAACCATTATATATATATATATATATATATATATATATATATATATATATATATATATATAATTGGCTTGTATACTTTGCACAATAATTTATGTACTATGTACATAATATAATTTTTGATGAAGGAGGTTTAAACTGACATCTTGACTATGGTAATTTAAGATACTTAACACATTGATGAGAGTACATATTCCAGGAAACTGTACTTACTAATTGCTTTACCTACACTCAAATTGTCGTCTTACATGTATTTTGTTGGATAAATTACTATACTACACAATTTTTCTTTTCATAATTTTTAAAATTTCCTACCATTTTATAATATTTCAAAAATTCCTCTTTTCCTCTTTTTCTCTCATTTTTGAGATACATTATTTACATCCCTTCTAATCCAACATTTTTGTTCCTCTTTTTATGCCTAAAATCACTCAATATATTAACAATTACATCAATCACTCAATTTTTTAATTTCAAATCTTTTCTCTCTCAAGTTCATCAATTTCAAGTAACTAAAGAGGTAGAATTATTTCTTCATCCATTTTTTATTCTCAGCTCTTCGGATTTCATTTTTTATTAAGAAAATAATATTTTTAATTTACAAATTTCTTATACATATGAATTTTGCTCCCTCTTTTTAATAGGTACCTTTTGTATTTTATTTTGATGATTCATCAAAATAGATCTAATCAACTCATTATGATTTCGACGATGATGATTGGGCTGGAAATAAATTCAAAAGCTTGTAGGATCTATTAACAATGACAAATGATAATATTTAGAAGACGAAGTTGAAGGAGGATGAAATTTCATCTTTTAAAGCGAATGTGTAAGAACCCCCAAAGAGGATAGAATTGTTGCATCTGATATGTGGTGTGTTATCTTTGAAGAAAATGATCTAGGATTAACAATCCTAGGAGGTTGGTTTCTGGATAAATGGCTACTTCGTCAATATAGAATAGTCATTATGTATTTGTTGACACACCCATTTGAATGTTTTACTATTTTAAAGATACATTAAATAAGGTTTTAGAAAGTTTCTTCAAAAGTTTTGTTGTTTTGAATGTAAATTTAATGTATTTTAATTTTGATCTCAATATGTATATTTTTCTTTATTTTTTGGTTATGATTATAGTGCTTGTGGTATACAATACAAAATAGGATAATTTTAAAAATTATCTGATACAAATAAATTTTATAAATTTAAGTATCACACAATTTTATCATTCAAGAGGTTGTTTATTAAGTTATAGATACACTTTATATCTAACCACGACAATGTATATTTCAACATGTATCAATTACATAAATTAATGTATCAAATATATTATTTTATCTTTCCTTTTATTTGTAATATTTAACATAAATTTACAGTAAATACGATAGTTCACAATCATGATGTATCATATACATTAATATTAAAATAAAAAAATATATATTATATAAATTTTTTATCAGATTTATAAAATTTAATGGTTTAACAGTGTGATTAAATTATTTTTCGGCAGAAATGTACACAAAGTTGAACAAATTTCTATTTATTACTAATATTTAACAGTAACACTTCATTATATTGGAAGCTGGATGCATTTTTCTAAAAAGAAATGTATCACTTTTCTTTGGGTAAGAGAGTACATCGTGTATTGACACTTTCATGTCTATAACGTCCAAAACGGTTTTTGCTCGTAGTTGGCTTATCACTTGAGTTCTTTTTCTTTCTTTTGGTGACCGTCCAAACATTCTTTTGTATCGAGATGTCAAGACAATTTCTTATCTGGTAATTGAACCATTGAATCTTTCAAAATTACTTATTTACCTTTCAAGGCAAACAACATCAGTTAGCTTATTATTTCTATTAAATATCAATTTGACTGATTGATAATCTGTAGTTAGATTTATATATCAAGTACAATTTTTCATTATTATGCATCATATTAAAGCTTATTTGTTTCTATTATGTATCAATTTGACTTATTTATAATTTGTAGTTAGAATTATGTATCAAGTACAATTTTACATTTTTATGTATCATATTAAAGCTTATTATTTATATTAAGTATCAACATCATTTTTTTCAATTGCAAAATATCCGATACTTTATTATTAGTAGATACGAAATTTAGAAAAAAAATATTATGTATATATGATATATCGTTGCTTCAAATGATACCTTTTTGCATGTCGTCTCTTTTAACTTTGGCACACATCACAATATTGATACTATTATTCTATTCCGTACAAAATCTATTGAAAATTAAGTATCAGACACACAACAATGTATACCAAACTAACTTTATAAAAAATTAAGAATAAAAAAATGTAACTAGTTTTCACTAAAAGTACTTCATAAAGTATCTAATTTGAGAATTATTAGACATGAAGCAGAAAAGTACTTCTAAAAAGCAAGCATCAAGAATCTTTCGGGAAGAAAGTATATGTTTGCGTCCCAATTTCTCCTTCAACACACACAGTTTCACCTGTTATTGTATCAAAACTTTGTATATGTTCATCACTTTTATCCGATGTATCAATGCATAGTGAACACATAACGAATTCTACCTCATGTTTCTTTATTTCTATATAGAATTTCACCCCATATCATTCCTAATAGACAATGAAGACAAATTACATTCAACAATGTATCTGATCTCGATGTGTTTTTTTTCAATTCTCAATATCTAATTCAGCTGCAATTGTTGAAATAAGATTTACGAACGAAATATTTTCTCCAACCACTATCACATCAATTATGTATCGCTCGTATCTAACATCACTTTTACATGATCCAAAATGCTTTAGCAAGATTAAAAAAAATATTCATTCCGAATCTTCACAAAACTGCGTTCCAAATTTGTTTGAATCAAACTTTTAATGTTTTTTTGAAGATTTGGAAGAAGATTTAACGATTTGAAATTTAAAAATTATAATTCAGTTAGAGGTTTATGACTGATTGATTGAAGGAAGAAACGTACGCGTGATTTGTGGGAATCAATTAATTTCTATTTTTAATCTCTTATTTAACGCTTAAACTGATAACAACAACTTAATAATTTAAGTACCAGCCGTTATTAATTAAAGTATCTATCTACAATTTTATGTATTCGAAAAACACTAAAAAAGGGATTTTTAGTAATTAATGAAAGAGTAGGGATAGGAATTTCTTTCATATACTATGTCATTTGCTAATTTTTACTATTATATTTAGAGCTGTCAATATGGGCTAGCCCAACCCATCCGCGCTAACCCATAACCCATACAAACTTTGACTTTTTACGGGTTAGCCCATTTTTGGTGTGGTCCAGAAAACGGTCGGCCCAACCTACAAGTATGTGGGTTACTGGCTTGCCGGGCTAGCCCACTTTTAAAAAATTATATATTTTTTAATTATTAAATCAAATTATAAATTATTATTCAAAAATATTATCATAAATATCGACAAAATAATATTACATGATGCTAATGTTACTACTTATTAATCAAATCAACAAATAAAATTATATTTATAGTATTTATTAAGTTTTTTTTCAAGTAAAAGTATAAATATCTAAATAGAAATATTAATTTAATTGTTTTGAAATTTATATTCTCTTCAATTTTAAATTTTAGTATTATATTATATTTTTTAATTAATTTTTATTGATCCATGGATCGTCCCTACTGGTACTTCTCAAGCCCCACAAATCAATAGGTTTATTCAGGACGGACTTAAAAGTCCTTTTCTTAAATGGACTGCAAAAATCTTAGCCCAACATATTAATTTCGAGTTAAGCCAGGCCGGCCTAACGGGCCTAACTCATATTGACGGTTCTAATAATATTAATTTAAACAAAGACAATTACTTAAGCAAGGGCTGACTTAATAAAATAGTTTGTTGAAAGACTTGGTTTTACAAACAAATATACTTTAATTTGTTCAAGGTTATTTTTTCGTTCGATTTCCTCCCAATTAGTATATTTTATTGTTCCTCTTGATGTGTAAATTGTATACGAAATACCAAATAATCTAAAATATTTTATTTTGAGATGATATACATAGGTCATAATTTGTTCATCCATACGTAAGTACAATGACATCATTTCATTCTTAATAAGTGTGAGTTTCTTCGGACGACCAAAATGATAAACATGTAATTTCCTTTTTCCTAGTTCCTTTATATGGTCGTCTTGAAAAAAGACATGTTTATATGCATTACTAGATCTTAATGTTAATTTACACTTCCTAGTTCTCAAGGGACCTGATTATATATGAATTAAAAGTCTACTAATCAGGACAAGAACAACATTTCAACATTGGCAATAGAAACGTTGTTTCAATTTATGTGAAGTAATTTTCTCTTTAGTCTGTCGAAAGAAGAATGAAAAAATATGTCTTATTATCTTGTCTTATAGGTATTGTACACGCTCGATAACGGATTCAGGATCCAACCCCGAGACCTGATCTAGGTTTTGACCTCGACTCGAGACACGACATTTGAATTGGGATCCGGCCCTAACATCTGACTCGAGACCTGACCCAGGACCCAACTTCCAAATTGAGACCCAACATTAACTCTTGAATCGGGATCTAACCCCAACACTCGAACCGAGACCCGATTTTTGACTCGAATTCAATCCTGAGACCTGACTTGGGAGATGATCCGACCTCAACTCTCAACTCGAAGCCTGACTTTGTCCCCTTGAATCAGGTCGAGAGTTCCATGTCCAGTTTATGTGACATACTTTTCTTTTTAGTCTATCAAAAATAATAATAATAATGACACAATGTATCCTTTGTGTTTTCTTAAAGGCATTGTGCATGCCAACTCTGGCTATATCTATCTATATATAGGAGGCCATAACAAACATTCACATAAACTTTGAATACTACTAATTATAACTTCAAGATGATGCAAGATGTTTGGACACGACCCATTGCACCAATCATGTTCACCAGGACCATGTACCAATGCTGTTTGATTGTTTTTTTCAAGCTAGTGCCACGTAAGTCGAAAAAGGGTAGAAAATTACATATAAAATAAGTTTAGGGAGGTAATAGGACCTTAGTATAGTATAAGTGTGTCTCTGGAATTTCGGGCATATGTTGAAGGGGTACTTGTGCATTTTCCCTAATAATAATAATAATAAAAATACTTCATTTCTTTAATTTAGTTTCACGTATGGGCCAAATCAAATAAGATATTAAATAAATTATGAACTTGACCCCTAAGAATCAACAAAGATTAATTATTAATAAATATTCGTCAACTAAATAACCATAGTTACACAAATAGTTTAAGATTCCCATTTAAAATTTGCAGGAAATCATTTTATGAAAGAAATAGGTTTAGTACTCAAAATAATCTGACTGGTTGTTACAGTAAAGATTCTTTTTTACATCTTTTAAAGTATATTTTCTAACGAACTATTTGAATTAATTTTATTTGTACTTTAGTTTCATTTTAATATATTATTACTTTGATCACACTTACTTATATTAAACTAATAAACTTCTATAATAAAGTGGGTATTTTTAGTAAATATGATAAACAACAAGATTATTAAAACATAAAATTAAAGTAATAATACAATAGAGTAACTAATAGATCACAAAAACTCATAAAAGAAAAGAAAGTGAAGTAATAATAAATGAGTTGATAATCATATATTTATATAAAAGTGAACCCTAAGCCCGCCTACGTGGTGCCACCAGAAATCAGAATTCGCTTTTAAATTTATTTATTTTCAAAACTACCCTTCCATTTTCATGAAAAATTGTGACTTTATGAAAACTTGTGACTTTTTTGAAAAGTTGTGACAATTATGAAAAATAGTGACTTTTTTGAAAATTTATGACTTTTATGAAGAGTTGTGATTTTTGTAAAGAACTCTTACTTTTATAAAAGGTTGTGACCATTCTAATGGATTGTAACTTTTTCAAAGAGTTGTGATCTTTCCAATAAGACACAATAAATATTTGTTCGGTGACCTTTTTTTTAACTATTTTAAAATTTCAACAAGGATAATTGAAAATTAATCTTCTCTTTTGTCCCTTTCTACATAGTTCTTAATATAAACAAAGGAAATTGATTTTCAATTGGAATGCTACATTATTACTCTTTGACCTCTTAGTGCACAAC